CCGATCTTCATTTTTTCTCAGAACAATGCGTCATCTGGACAATACAAATGTATGTTTCTGGTTGCTAACAAAAAACTGTCAGAACGATACTTTCTTTCAAATTTTTTTATATGGGCTCAATATTAGGGACACCTAGGCTGATACAAGGGACATTCACCCTATCTCGAATATCTTGGATTCAGAAACATGAAAAATGACATCGTCCTGCTGGCTATCGGACGCACCCTCAAGGCTTTGCGAAGGAATTTACAAGCTGCTGCATCAGCCACCACAAGATGGGCCTGTAGGGTCGGCTTTGAATTATCCGCAGAAAAGAGCGTGGTTTCCCACCTATGCCACTTCCGTCATCGCCCTCCACCAACAGCCATCGTTGCGAACAATATTCCAATACCCAACAAGAAGACCATCCAGGTTCATGGTGTACGCTTGGACCAGGAGCTGAGGTTCGACGCACATTTCAATGAAATCAAAGCCAACTGCTGCACGCGGCTAAACCTCCTCCGGACATTTTCCAAACCACACCGGAGCAGTAACAGAGAGATTCTACTAAAATAGCCAAAGCCACCGTAAACAGTAGATTATTCTACGGGATCGAACTGTTCTGCCTTTCCAATGACTCTCTTACCACACGACTAGCCCCATCGTATAACCAGGCAATCAGAATAGTCGCAGGACTTCTGCCTTCAACACCGGCTGAATCGGCTTGCGTCGTACTCGGTGTACTACCGTTTCAATACCAAGTCGCCGAAACGCTGAGCTGCAGAACGACCAGCTACCTGGAAAAGACCACCGGGAACCACGAGGTCTTTCTCCTCAGGGAGGGGAACAGAGCTCTCGGAAACTTGGTCCATCAGGAGCTCCCACCCGTGTCCAGGGTACACTGGAACGGAGCCAGAGGATGGACAGAACCAACCATATGCGTTGACCTTTCAATTGCCAAGCGCTTCAAGGCAGGTAACAACTCCCGTGCCATGCAGGCCCACGTAGCGGAGCTGCTGAGAACTAAATACGCAAATTTTCAACACCGTTACACGGATGGCTGTAAGGCCTTGGGGAAGGTCGGATTCGGAGTAGCGGATGTATGCAATAGCTACTTCTTTCGACTACCCGATCAGTGCTCCGTCTTCTCGGCGGAGGCTGCGGCCATCCACTTCGCCACCACGACACCCGCCAATAAACCCATATGTGTCCTAACAGACACCGCCAGCGTTTTATACGCCTTGAATTCAGCAACATCCAAACACCCCTGGATACAAGGGATCCAAAAGGCCGCGCCACCGAACACCTCATTTGTTTGGGTACCCGGCCATTGCGGTATCCGGGGCAACTGTGAAGCAGATCATCTCGCTGCCACAGGTCGCTACGGCCAGATGGCCACCCTAGCAGCACACTTGTCATTTAACTGTTGTGGTTACTTGTATGCACCTTATTTCAGTCACAGTCAAGTTGCAGCAACCTATTTTGATGGATGTGTGTTGCTTGGGCACCACAGTTGTACCCAGTCCGGACGTAAAAAAAATGGGTGAAAGCATCCCTCCGAGACGCCTGGGCCCGGGAGTGGTACGCAAAAAGGGGACCGTTCCTGAGAAAAATAAAGGGTGACACCTCCAAATGGAATGACATTACGAGCCGATGGGAACAACAGGTCTTATCCCGGATTCGATCCGGACACACCCGAGTGACCCACAACATGGGTAGCGCTAACTCTTTTCGGAAGTTTTGCGACTCCTGCAACACGATTATGACAGTTGAACACCTGATTGTTAACTGTCCCTGCTTCCATAACATCCGGCTCCTCTATGGAATACCGAACAGCATACGTAACGCCTCTCTAACGACCCGTCCACGCAAGCAGCCCTAATAGTTTTCCTAGATGATGCTGGACTGTTCTATAAAATATAATCAATATATACAAAATAACTACGCCTCGAACATGGACACCACTGGAATAAGCCTGGATATCACATGACGATTACCTGACTGCCTTCGACAACGACCACCGTCATTCACACCATGATCCGCCAACCACGCTAAGAACCAAGACAGGAACTATAATGAACTCTGTTTAAAAATACTCTGTACTAAGGGGACTCCCATCTGGAGCCCATCCAACCTCTAGGAGAACCCTTTCTGGGTTCTCCAAACTCTCAACTATGTAATTAGGGAAGCCCCCTTCTGGGGCTCCCGGAGTTGAACCAGCTTGCGGCTGAAAATCTCCTAAATAGGGAAAAAACATGAAAAATCTTATAAGTATAATATTGGAAATCTGAAATCTCTTCAAAAATATTTATATTAATAAAAAAGTCAACATTTGAAAGGTTTTTATAAGTCTCAGAATCTTGAAGATGTTCTTTAGTCCGTCGCACAGAGAAGTAACTAGGGCAAAAACCTGGCCAACATTATTTACTGCTGTTTTGAGTGATATCGGTCATGGACATAATGTAAAAAGTAGGCCATTATCCATCAACTAGTTCGAATTGAATACAAGGAACAAATTTTTTGAGAAATATTGACCATTGATCATTCTGTGTACGTCTGGGAAGGGCTATTACTAAATAGTTGTTTTTATAGCTCTAAATTATGACAATTTTTAAACACTTCCCAAAAATTTTAAATATCATTTACCGTATTTCAACCATAGCCACTATGTTTTTTTTGTATACTTAAATATATTATTTAAGTATACAAAAAAAAACATCATATAAAACCACAATCAAAGTTCTTTTTTTTGGCCAAATTTTTGTTCTAGGTACTCCTCTGTACGTCGCCTGAAACAATTGGACCAATAATCATTTTTTTAAAGTTCAAATTCAAGTTAATGACCCACTAACGTCAGTAGCGTTCCTGGCCATTGAATCATGATTTTATGAACTTACACAGCCAATGAGAGTAGCTTAGGGGCTGTTCATAAACTACGTAGACAGTTTTTTGGGATTATTAATCCCCCCTCCCCCTGCGTAGACAATTGTTCATACAAAAATTTTAAAATTTGTATGGGCCGTGGATAATTGTCAACCCCCCCCCCCCCCTAAACTGTCTGTGTAGTTTATGAACAGCCCCTTAGTAACTGAGTCGAATTCGACTCAAAAATGCAACAATTTTCCTCACTTTTCCAGGAAAAACTGCTTGAATATGAGGGAAATCGACGGAAATTTTACTCAGTCTATGAATATACTAATAGACTGCGTCAAATATCTCTAGATTTTCCTCATTAATAATTCAAGAAGCCAATTTTTGGCCAGGATTCGACTAGGCCCTACTTTGTGTTGAGATTTTGAGAAGTTTCATGGTAGCGAAGGATATGAATCGGCAAACAATCAAACACCCTTTTCTACACCATAATCGTTACTTTGTATTGCATTCTGCCTGCTCGGAGTTAGTACGTTTACTAACCTATTACATGGAATTGTGTCTTCTCGTAGATACTACGGAACAAAGCAATTCAATATCGATCACGATATAAGTAACCCTACTTTTTGCACTTTGAGTCGAATTCGGCTAAGTCACTGAGTTATACTCATTTGCCGTGTAGATAATTTGCTGTGATCTCCTGTGATATTCGGCAATTATATTTTTTTTTTTTCTATATTCTTCTGTGAGTTTCATTTTATCAAGGGTACTATACTCATTTTTCAGTAGCACTAACGTTCCACTAACGTTTAAAATCTAGTTGAACCAGCGACCACTTTTAGTGACTTTGAGATCTTTGAAACTTGAATATAAGCTTCACACTTACCATCAGTTAATTGATTAAAAAAAAAAACGCGCAATTCGGCGAAGAAAAATCAACAGTGATCTTAAGCTGCAACTTTCCTCGTAACGTGGGTAGATCACCTTTTCGTGGTACGTAAGATCTACTACCGAATCTTAGTCCTGATTGGTTCAAACCAGGGGAACAGGATTTTTCAGTAATCAAAGGCCTTGTTGATAGTGACAATACTCTGCTTTATCCACTGAGGATGAACTTAAAACAAGAAAAAAGTGAATTAGTCTTCGTCTATGTGATTCCTATTCTTCTATTTGTTGTTCTCTAGTTTGAAGTGGTTAAGACTTGGGTTCTGATCTTACAGATTTGTGTAAAAAAATAACCGAATCTGTATCTTATGTTATAGCCATGAACACAAATTATCGTTTAAAGAAAGAGAGAAGGACTATTCATTTCCATTTAGTTCCACTAGCCTAATTGCTTATCCTTGACAGATCGTGTATTTCATCTACAATGTGCATACTTCTTCAGTGTCTGAAGAATGGAGTTCATGCTACTCATGCAGGATGAAAGCATGAGGGACAAATAAAAAAAAAGATAAAAATCACGTAAAAACAGAATTTAGTGTATATGGTTGCCAATAGGTAGCGTAGCAGCAATTGTGATTTTGAAAGTGAAGTAGAGTTAGATGGCGATAAGTTTAAAGTGGTCGAATAATTGTTGTTATCCTGTAACACTAGTAACATGCAATAATTATACTATCAGCAAGGTGAAGAGACGTTTTTTTGTTTAACAAATTCTTAAAATGCAAATCTATGATTCCTGTCACATCTTTAGTCAATTGAAATAAGTCGTGTGGTCAGAAAAATATGTCATAGACGCAAATGCTAAATGTGAAATTTTCTGAACTTGAGCAAACATCAAACCTCAATAGATTGTATGTGGCAGCGACTGGATGTTCCAAAAAATCGTCTTGCGCAATTGATGCACGGTCCCTAAAATATAATTTATCTACATACTATGTATAACAACAGTTTCACATAGGCGCAATTAAATTAAAACGTTTTTTATTCCAGTAATGAGCCCATAAAGGCTACCCTTCAGATGATGAGAAATTAGCCATTGAGTGCCACTTTGCAGCATGCAACCGACAGTTTATAGATATAAATAACAATTAAGAGTTTAACTGCTGCTTCTCCTTCAATGTACTTACCTTCTTACTTTTTTAACGACCATCCGTTTCAGTTTACTTATGTGCATCTGACTATTTTTTCTTCCATTTGCTCTCTTCCAGGGTGACTACATATGGATCGAGCCCGTGTCCGGACGTGAATTCGATGTGGCCATCGGGGCTCGGGTCGTATCGGCCGAGGGACGGCGCATTCAGGTGCGCGATGACGACGGAAACGAGCTATGGCTTACGCCCGAGCGGCGCATCAAAGCCATGCACGCCTCGTCTGTCCAGGGTGTGGAAGATATGATCTCCCTCGGTGACCTGCATGAAGCTGGCATCTTGCGGAATCTGCTCATCCGCTACAATGATAATTTGATCTATGTAAGTAGCGCTCAAAATAAAAAGTCTCCAGGGCAAAATCTCTAAACTGCTATCTTATTTTCCAGACGTACACCGGATCCATCCTGGTAGCGGTCAATCCTTACCAGATTCTACCTATCTACACCGCAGATCAAATTAAACTGTACAAGGAGCGCAAGATTGGTGAACTGCCACCGCACATCTTTGCCATAGGGGACAACTCCTACGCAAACATGCGACGCTATGGCCAAGATCAGTGCATTGTCATCTCGGGAGAATCCGGAGCTGGTAAAACGGAAAGTACAAAGCTTATTCTCCAATATCTGGCGGCCATCAGCGGGAAGCACTCATGGATAGAGCAGCAAATTCTCGAAGCAAATCCCATCCTGGAAGCGTTCGGCAACGCAAAAACAGTGAGGAATGACAATTCCTCTCGCTTCGGAAAGTACATAGACATTCACTTCAACAACTCCGGGGTAATCGAGGGTGCTGAGATTGAGCAGTATCTGTTGGAAAAGTCTCGAATAGTATCGCAGAATGCGGATGAGCGGAATTACCACATCTTCTACTGTTTGCTAGCTGGGTTGTCCACGGATGAGAAACGCAAACTGAACCTTGGTCATGCTTCCGACTTTCGTTACTTGACAGGAGGAGGTTGCATCAGATGTGACGGGAGGAACGATGCTGCTGAATTCGCGGATATTCGTTCAGCAATGAAGGTGCTCTGTTTTTCAGATCACGAAATATGGGAAATTTTGAAATTGTTGGCCGCCCTTCTTCACACGGGAAACATCACATATCGAGCAACGGTGATTGACAACCTGGATGCAACCGAAATCCCGGAGCACATCAACGTGGAACGAGTTGCTAGTCTGTTGGAGGTTCCATTTCAGCCGTTTATAGATGCACTGACTCGAAAGACCTTATTTGCCCATGGTGAAACGGTAGTGTCCACTCTTTCTCGAGATCAATCTATGGATGTGCGGGATGCCTTTGTGAAAGGTATCTATGGGCGATTGTTCGTACTCATAGTGAAGAAAATCAATTCAGCAATCTTCAAGCCAAAGTCAACTACCCGAAGTGCAATTGGCGTACTGGATATCTTCGGTTTCGAAAACTTCAAGCACAATAGCTTCGAGCAGTTCTGCATAAACTTTGCCAACGAGAATCTGCAACAGTTCTTCGTGCGACATATCTTCAAACTAGAACAGGAGGAATACAATCACGAAAGCATCAACTGGCAACACATCGAGTTCGTCGATAATCAAGACGCTCTGGATCTCATTGCCATCAAGCAACTCAACATTATGGCCTTGATCGATGAGGAGTCCAAGTTCCCCAAGGGAACGGATCAGACCATGTTGGCCAAATTGCACAAAACTCACGGAACTCACCGAAACTACCTGAAACCCAAGTCGGACATCAATACCAGCTTCGGTCTGAATCACTTTGCCGGAGTCGTCTTCTACGACACCCGTGGCTTCTTGGAGAAGAACCGCGATACATTTAGTGCTGACCTGCTGCAACTCATTTCAAGTTCAACCAACAGATTCTTGCAAATGGTATTTGCCGAGGATATCGGCATGGGCGCTGAGACTCGTAAGCGAACTCCGACTTTGTCGACTCAATTCAAGAAGAGCTTGGATTCGCTCATGAAGACCCTGAGCTCGTGTCAACCGTTCTTCATTCGATGTATCAAACCGAATGAGCTAAAGAAGCCCATGATGTTTGATCGAGCCCTGTGTTGTCGTCAGCTGCGTTACTCCGGTATGATGGAGACCATTCGCATTAGGCGAGCCGGATATCCAATTCGACACAAGTTCAAAGACTTTGTTGAGCGGTACCGTTTTCTCATCAGTGGTATTCCACCGGCTCATAGGACGGATTGTCGTTTAGCTACATCGAAGATCTGTGCATCGGTGCTGGGACGTTCTGACTACCAACTTGGTCACACGAAGGTGTTTCTGAAGGATGCACATGATTTGTTCCTGGAACAGGAAAGAGATCGTGTGCTGACAAGAAAGATCCTTATCCTACAGCGCTCAATTCGTGGATGGGTGTATCGAAGACGCTTCCTAAGGATGAGACAAGCGGCAATCACTGTTCAGAAATTCTGGAAGGGCTACGCACAACGACAGCGGTACAAGAAGATGAGGATCGGGTACATGAGGTTGCAGGCGTTGATTCGATCGCGCGTGTTGAGCCATCGTTTCCGTCATCTGCGTGGACATATCGTTCGACTGCAAGCTAGAATACGCGGGTACTTGGTGCGTCGGGAATATGGTCTGAAGATGTGGGCCGTGATCAAGATTCAATCACACGTGCGGAGAATGATTGCTATGAATAGGTATCAGAAGTTGAAACTTGAGTACCGACGACATCACGAGGCATTGAGATTACGCAGAATGGAAGAAGAAGAGTTGAAGCATCAAGGCAACAGACGTGCCAAGGAGATTGCTGAACAGCACTACCGGGATCGACTGAATGAGATTGAGAGAAAGGAGATAGAGCAGGAATTGGAAGAACGTCGCCAGGTCGAAGTCAAGAAGAACATAATCAATGACGCGGCTAGAAAGGCGGATGAACCGGTAGATGATAGCAAGTTGGTAGAAGCTATGTTCGATTTCCTGCCAGATTCCAGTAGTGAAGCACCAACTCCGCATGGTGGTCGTGAAACTTCTGTTTTTAATGACCTACCGGTGAATCAAAATAATCACGAAGATATTATTGGACCAATCCACACAATTTCCGAAGACGAGGAAGACCTATCGGAGTTCAAATTCCAGAAATTTGCTGCAACATACTTCCAGGGCAACATCACTCATTTCTATTCACGTAAGCCGTTGAAACATCCACTCTTACCGTTGCACACACAAGGTGATCAACTTGCCGCACAAGCTCTGTGGATAACTATTCTCCGGTTTACCGGAGATCTTCCGGAACCACGATATCACACTATGGATCGCGACAATACATCAGTCATGTCGAAAGTAACTGCCACGCTAGGACGAAACTTTATTCGAAGTAAAGAATTTCAGGAAGCTCAAATGATGGGTCTAGACCCGGAGCAATTCCTTAAGCAAAAACCTCGATCCATCCGTCATAAACTCGTATCGTTAACGTTGAAGCGAAAAAATAAACTGGGTGAAGACGTACGACGTCGTCTTCAAGACGAAGAGTACACCGCCGATAGCTACCAGTCATGGCTTGAATCTCGACCGACCTCCAATCTAGAAAAGCTACACTTCATTATAGGCCATGGTATTCTACGAGCGGAACTCCGGGACGAAATCTACTGTCAAATTTGCAAACAACTCACCAACAATCCTTCGAAGTCTTCGCACGCTAGAGGCTGGATCCTTCTGTCGCTCTGCGTAGGATGCTTTGCTCCATCGGAAAAATTCGTCAACTACCTGCGTTCGTTCATCCGAGAAGGTCCCCCCGGTTACGCTCCGTACTGTGAGGAACGCTTGAAGCGCACTTTCAACAACGGAACTCGAAATCAACCGCCATCGTGGTTAGAACTGCAGGCAACCAAGTCCAAGAAACCCATCATGCTTCCGATCACCTTCATGGATGGTAACACGAAAACTCTGCTAGCCGATTCAGCCACAACAGCTCGTGAACTGTGCAACCAATTGTCCGACAAGATCGCCCTTAAAGACCAGTTCGGGTTCTCGCTATACATTGCCTTGTTCGATAAGGTGTCCTCTCTGGGAAGCGGAGGTGATCACGTAATGGATGCAATCTCACAGTGCGAACAATATGCCAAGGAGCAAGGTGCTCAAGAAAGGAACGCCCCGTGGCGGCTGTTTTTCCGGAAGGAAATTTTCGCTCCGTGGCATAATCCCATCGAGGATCAGGTGGCTACGAATCTGATCTACCAGCAGGTGGTTCGTGGAGTTAAGTTTGGTGAATATCGGTGCGATAAGGAGGAGGACTTGGCGATGATTGCTGCTCAGCAGTACTACATCGAGTACAATACGGACATGTCGATGGATCGGTTGTATACGCTTTTGCCGAACTTCATTCCGGATTACTGCCTGACGGGGATCGAGAAGGCAATCGACCGTTGGGCTGCCCTCGTGCTGCAAGCTTACAAGAAGAGCTACTACCTGAAGGACAAGGCAGCGGCCTTGAAGGTGAAGGAGGACGTGGTTAGCTACGCAAAGTATAAGTGGCCACTGCTGTTTTCCCGATTCTACGAGGCGTACAGGTAAGGGTCGTTTGATGATGTGAATATGAATGGGTTTGTTTTAAGAAAATGTTTAATTTATGACCACGATGTGGATCAGGTCGGAGACCAGTAGGGGAGTATTGGGATACATGGTTCTCCAAGTTATTGCAATCATTATTCATTGTTTTAATAAGAAAATATATTAAATGGTTTTGACAGATGTAACTTATCGGCAGAATACTCATAGAGTTGTCGTTATAATTCATACGGACTTCTCTGGTCAAACCTCATAGAAATCATCTCAGCACTACCTTGTGATTTTACTCATTAACTGCATTGGAATCCTCCTTACAATTCACCTGGAGCATTTCTCACAAATCCGAATTGATCCTTGAAATTCTTCAAGATTTATATCCACAATTTCCTAGGAATTATCTTTGGAATACGCATTTTTACAAGAATTCCTTTTGAATTCTGCACAATAGGAATCCTAGCCTAGAGAATTTTTTGGAATCCTCGTCAAATTCTCCTGAACATCTCACTGATTTTTTCAATAATTACCTTGGATTTCTATTCAAATCTCCTTTGGAATTCTCCTCAGAAGTCATTAAGAATTACTTCCAGAATTTCTTAAGAGTTTTCTTCCGATTTCCCATGCTTCTCAAAATTCCATTGGAATTCTCATCGAAATTGTACATTATTAACTCTGTTGTGTTGATTTCCTTATTATGCTTAATTCACAGAAACTCCGGTCCCAATCTACCCAAGAACGACGTCATCATTGCTGTAAACTGGACCGGCGTCTACGTGGTCGATGATCAGGAACAGGTGCTGCTTGAATTGTCCTTCCCGGAAATCACTGCCGTATCGAGCCAAAAGACGAACAAGGTGTTTACTCAAACCTTCTCCCTGTCAACGGTGCGCAATGAGGAATTCACCTTCCAAAGTCCAAACGCGGAAGATATCAGGGATCTGGTGGTTTACTTCTTGGAAGGATTGAAAAAACGGTGAGCTCAGATTAAGGCCTATCTTTGTAAGAAAGTTCTAATCGCTAGGATTCATTTTAGCTCAAAATTTGTGATAGCACTGCAGGACTACAAAGCTCCTGGCGAAGGAACCAGCTTCCTGTCATTTCTGAAGGGAGACCTGATCATCCTGGAAGATGAAAGTACTGGCGAAAGTGTACTCAATTCCGGTTGGTGTATCGGTAAGTTGTGTGCACAATAATACCAAACAAATTCAAAATTATCTTTCAAATTACCAGGATGTTGCGAGCGTACCCAGGAGCGTGGAGACTTCCCAGCCGAAATAGTCTACGTCCTGCCTTCGCTTACCAAACCCCCACCAGACATCCTAGCACTGTTCAGTGTAGAAGACGCACATCACGGCAAACGGTTGAACTCGATCCACTCAAACGGTGGAACTGAGACGCGTGAACGACCGCACACCCTGGCCGACTATTCGTTGGACCACTTTAGGCCACCCCCGAAACGCACCATGTCCAAGGCACTCAGCACTCTCAGCTCGAAACGGGGAGGCGACGAGCTATGGCGATACTCGAGGGAACCTCTAAAGCAACCTCTACTAAAAAAGTTGTTGGCCAAGGAAGAATTGGCTGAAGAGTCTTGTCTAGCATTCATCGCCATCATGAAGTACATGGGAGATTTGCCATCGAAACGACCCCGAATCGGCAACGAAGTCACCGACCACATCTTCGACGGTCCGCTCAAACATGAAATCCTTCGAGATGAAATCTACTGTCAACTGATGAAACAGTTGACCGACAACCGCAATCGTATGTCCGAGGAACGCGGTTGGGAACTGATGTGGCTTTCAACCGGCCTGTTTGCCTGCAGTCAACAGCTTTTGAAGGAACTGACTGTCTTTCTTCGAACACGTCGCCATCCCATATCCCAGGACTCACTCCACCGGCTGCAGAAGACCATCCGGAATGGTCAACGCAAGTACCCACCCCACCAGGTCGAAGTGGAAGCCATCCAGCACAAAACTACCCAGATATTCCACAAGGTCTACTTCCCGGACGATACGGATGAAGCATTCGAAGTTGACTCGTCAACCCGAGCGAAAGATTTCTGCCAGAACATTTCACAGCGACTGAATCTGCGGTCCAGTGAAGGTTTTAGCTTGTTTGTAAAAATAGCCGACAAGGTGATATCAGTGCCAGAAGGAGACTTCTTCTTCGACTTTGTGCGTCATCTAACCGATTGGATCAAGAAGGCGCGACCGACGCGGGACGGGACGAATCCACAGTTTACCTATCAGGTGTTCTTCATGAAGAAGCTGTGGACGAATACGGTGCCCGGTAAGGACAAGAATGCGGATCTGATATTCCACTACCACCAAGAGCTGCCCAAGTTGCTGCGAGGCTATCACAAGTGCTCGAAGGAGGAAGCCGTCAAACTGGCGGCTTTGGTATATCGGGTGCGATTTGGGGAGAGCAAACAGGAACTGCAGGCGATACCGTAAGGAGCATACAGGAAGCTTTACACAGAGTTCACTGATTACTCAACATAAATTTCGTTTTCAGACAAATGCTACGTGAACTGGTCCCATCGGATCTTATAAAACTGCAAACATCAAATGACTGGAAACGATCAATTGTGGCAGCGTACAATCAAGACGCTGGGATGACTCCAGAAGATGCTAAGGTCACCTTCCTCAAGATAGTGTACAGGTAATTCAGGACAAACGTTTACTACAGAACAAAAGTTTCTAACTCAATAAAACTCGCTTTCCCAGATGGCCCACATTTGGCTCAGCATTCTTCGAGGTGAAACAAACCACTGAACCCAACTATCCGGAAATGCTACTCATTGCCATCAACAAGCATGGCGTCAGTCTGATCCATCCAAGCTCAAAGGTAACATCAATCGATGCGTGCTACTTTTACCACATTTGACCTTACTTTCCATTCTCATTCGCAGGACATTCTGGTGACTCATCCGTTCACCCGAATTTCCAACTGGTCTTCCGGCAACACCTACTTCCACATGACCATCGGAAATCTGGTCCGCGGATCGAAGCTACTGTGCGAAACGTCGCTGGGATACAAAATGGACGATCTGCTCACTTCGTACATTTCCCTGATGCTGACCAATATGAACAAACAGCGAACAATTAGGATTAAGTAGGATGCGCCGGAAGCCCGAAGCAACGCAGCAACAGCACAGTATAGCACAGTTGCTTAGACGAAGATTGTAACAACTTTTTTGTTTGTTTTAAAAATTAACGATTCCTTCGTTAGTGGCTTATGAATATTTATTTTGTTTGAGCTTTGCTTTTTGTTTTAGCATGCAAAGGCATAAGAATATTTAAATAGGAATGTTAGAACCAATTCAATTCAATCGACGGGATGCTGTAGAAGAGAATCCCATTTTTTTCCCTGCGCTAATATTAATGATCATTGGAGCATGTTGAATCACCAAACGATGCCTTTTACTCACATCATTTGCCTTTCACTTTTTTGCGAACCTTAGTTTTGAGGTGTGCTCTTACAATTCTGATCTATTTAACACATTTAACATTTTGTTCAACTCCTTGAAGCCATTTTAGCTTACGACACTCGACAGCACCTAACCTTGCACACTCACACAGAACACCGAAAATGCTTTTATTTATTCACCTTCATTAGTTTCCCTTCCCCCCACAGATTTGTAGAGTAAATTTTGTGTTGGTCCCGCGTGGTCGGAAGTCTCAAGCTTAATGTTAGTGGTTAGTTTTAAAACGGTGCAGCAATATTGGAAGAATATAGTCGTCAAAATTTCAGCTCCTCTTATGCCAACTGTGGTCGATTGAATGAAGAACATTGCAATGCATCGTTTGAGTGGGTTTTGACTGGATGAATGTGGCGTTTGTGTATTGCTGAATTGCACAAATAATGAGTCCATCGTTGTTATGATGTTTGGTATAAGAGGATCCCAGGTGTTTTGTTTTCTAAGATAGGGTAATATATTTTTGTAATTTTATTAGTATTTTGTTATGCATACCTTCGTAACTATTATCTATTAACGACCAATCATACAATAAATAAAACTTATAAAGTGATGAAGTTTCTTTCCAAGAAAGCCGAACGATGACCCGGTGTATTAAACTTAAGATGAATCGCTGTGGAAACCTTACTTCTGATTAATCTCATTATCACCTCAAAAATTTCAAGAGCACAAATATCAGTTTTAACAAAACAACTGCACGCTTCTGTGCAGAAAACAGGGAGTTCCTATTCAATGAGTGATGTCGCAACAAGGAATAATCTGTTTTCATAAAAATACAAAACTTGTCAATTGATGTTGAAAGCACAAGCCATGGACATTTTTTATTTAAATATCTATAATACGATTAGTGGATTGCTGGAATGATATTTAATTGAGATTTTGGAAAAAAAAAATCAGTAATAGTCTCGATATTAAGTTAAATTCCAAGTGATACGCATGTCTCTTTTCAGCTTTGGTTATTGAGAAAATTGAAATTATTACTTACAGTTTCTCGTACTAGCAGACTTGTTTTGAGAATAACCACCATGTTTAATGGAATTGGTTTGTTGCTTCAAAAAGATACTTGTTCACTGATTCAAATATTTAATGTCAAATAATTCATATCATTTAATGTATGTTGGTTGCGGCGCCGGTGGTGTAGTGGTAAGCGTGATAACCTCACCACCCCAGCAGGCCTGAGTTCAATCCCAGTCAGCGCCGCCGGGATGTTCTGAGGCATAACATCTCTGATGTTATGTCTCTGCTTCCCCAAGCTTCGGAAGGGAAGTAAAGCTGTTGGTCCCCGGCTCATGAGTTGATGAGTCGATAGGTAGAATCCAGGTGTGGGAGCTGCCTTCCTGGCATCGGTAAAATTGGTGCTCAGCACGGAAAACAAATCGACGGAAAACAAATCAAGAAAAAATGAATGTTGGTATCGCATAATGAAGGAAAAAGTCCCTCCATTCACATGGTGTAGGTTTTGGGAATGCCGTGTTTTCAGATTCCATATCTTTCTTTTTATAAAATAGAGATAAAAAAGATAGCATTTTTGATAAGCTTTCTTATAAACATAAGTTTAAAAATCTTATAAATTCACTTTTAATGTTATTGAAGTTGATAAGTTTTTTTTTTAATTTTTGACTATTATTTTTCAGTGTGTATATTTTCTGTTACAGGCAATCCATTTAAAAACAACTCTGCCTCAGACGTCATTTCGAATAGATATTCCAAATTTCATGCTATGATTTATTGAAAAATTACCGAATACGCCATTTCGAAAAATTAGGTGTGAGTCGTAATGACCGAATTTCGGCATAAACTTGGTTCATTGTCCTACCCGGGTAAAAAATATATGATAAACACCCCTATTCTGTATTTCGTTTCGAACGAAATTCTCATACAAAAAAATATTTTTTTTGTATGAGAATTTCGTTCGAAACGAAATACAGAATAGGGGTGAAAGTTTATGGGTCAAATTGTAAGCGAAATATGGTTAACAATCAATTTCATTCTATATTTATAGTATCGTGAATCTTTTGAAAACTGCATGTTTCGTTTCAAAAAATAGTCGATTCATTTGATAGTCATACACAGCGATCAAAGGGTTTAGTGAAACGAATATGAAATTTAACTCTTACAATAATTATAAAATAAGTTTTATGGCTTTGTTTCAATATATTAAAACTTATACCGTGGATTCCCGGTAGCCTGACCGTATTTAATCCAATCATTTTTTAATTTTAACCATGCCAATCTGTACGCCGTGAAAACAAAAAAATGTTCAAACGTCATTTAGCTAGTGGAATAGAGTGAAGCGGAATGGAACATTGTAAAACAGAACGTAGAATCAAACAAAACAGCAAATAAGGCTACACTGTACCAAACCACCGTCCTCTGTTCGAATGAAACCTCAGACCATTCAAATCAAAACATCGAAATCGCCTTTTCGAATGATAGCTGCAACCGGATGACGGTTGTTTTGAAATCAGATGATTTTCCTCTCGAATACAGGATGAGTATGTTATGAAAAAGAATAGGGCCTTCAGTTGGAATGCGTAATGCTCTCTGCAGAATGGTAGTCATCTTAAATTGAAATTAATTTGGTATTGGCTCAGCCCCTTAACACAAATCATTCAAAACGATGATGCAAATAATTCTATCGAATGTCATTTGTTGCTCTGAGCAGACAAACGAGGTGGAAGCATATACATCGCTATCAGAGGTGGTACGAGCATTGGTAAAGCGTGGAAATCGTAAATTGCCCATTTCGTGGTGGAGCATGTTTGCTCTACCAACCAACAAGGAAATTTTGTATCCATGATGAATGGCTGTTCATGGCTATTTAATATGGAAATGTAAACAATCGAAGTAATAATCTAATGTTAAGTAATTACAAATCATCCTATCCTTAAATTGTTGTCCTTTGAGCCCTGTATATTTCACTGCAAATTATCAAATAAATATCATTCTTTATTTGGAGGACAGTCATATGGATGCTCATCAGTTGATGGCGAATTCAACCATAAGGAAATCATCCGAAATTCGACAGCATATTGTTAAAGGGCTCGAGCAATACAATGATCAGTCTGAGCCAGACTGAGCTCAGTCGGTTAAGGCGCATCTACAAAGCAAGGCCATGCTGGAGGTGGCTGGGTTCGATTCCCGGTCCGGTCTAGGAATTTTGCGGGTTGGAAAATTTCTCGACTTCCTTGGGCATAGAGTATGATCGTACTTGCCACACAATTATACTAATGCAAAAATGGTACAGGCATCGAAAGCTCTCAATTAATAACTGTGGAAGTGCATCTAGAACACTAAGTTGAGAGCACGCAATAAGCTAATATGCAATTAGCAATAAGCTTGAAATGCAAGGAAGAAGAAGAAGAAGGGTTACTAGAAGTTCAAATTAAAAATGATCCACGATAATATGAATGAAGAGTCGTTCAGATTAGTTGGAGTCCACGGTTGTAAAACAAAATCTAAACAATAGAACAATACAAAACAATAGCGAAACAATCAAAATACAATGAACTCTTGGAAACTAATGATTTTCAAGCCCAAATGCATGTCCGCGTGTATGTATCATCACTACGTTTCTAATTCATCTTCTACCAATAAGTACAGGTGAAGCCAGTGGCAAAGTACGCAAGATACAAAAATAAAATGGACTTCAAAGTTCTTTGGTTCAAATACCAATATGGAGCACATAGAAAAGGTACAGTAACAGTTGTAAACAAATCCTCTACCAGTGGGTGTAGAAAAAAATAGCACTTACAGAGGCAGCCGGTAGATGGCGCATACAGTGGTGACAGGTAGATGGTAAAGGGTGTATTCGATAAAAATAGCACACACACATATTTACTCACCAAAATTAAACGGATTATCGGATTTTCTTGAAATTATCAGGGAATGAAAAACTATTAATGAGTTATGATTTACAAATTATTTTTTTATTCAATTTTGTTTCCCATCCCGAATTCCCACACCTTCCTTTTCACTTCACCCATCAAATTTTGTACAACCGATTTACCCAGTGTTTTTGTTGTTTTTACCCAAATTTTCTTCAACTCAAGTTTTGTTTTGATAGTTTTGGGATGTTTGCGAAGCTCCGTCTTCATAATTGCTCAGAATTTTTCAATTTGGCGAAGTTCCGGTGAATTTGGTGCTTCCATTTATTAACGTCCTTTTAAACGAACCACCTTGAGGAGGTGGAAAAAGTTCATTCAGGACGGTCAAGTCGTAACCAGACCCAGCCGGTTAGCATCCCCAGGTAGCGATAATCACAGGCTACTTAGAGTTGGCTATTACCTTTTTGGTCTGTCATCGTCATCACGGGCACTACCGATTTATTGACAATAGCGCATTGGTGACCACGATGATCCCCCGTTCTTGTTCGCATTACTGACGGCAAATATCACCGCCAGCAACCCCACCGGGCACCGCGTGGAGGTAAGAATCGGAGTTCAGGTGCACAGAGGCCGCAAATCGCCGGTCAGGGCAGAACCCAACAACCATTGATAGGCGTTCTTATGCACCTGCTTTACTCGGCGGTGAATTTGGTGGGTTCATATCTTTTGGCACAAAATTGACTCCGTTGGCTCGGTACCAGTCCAACACGTTTCGAGCGTAGTGGCAGGATGCTAGATCAGGCCAAAACGGAGTTGATCATTTCTGCTTCCATATGAATGGCAAGAGACGCTTCTTAAGGCACTCTTCCGTGTAAATCGCACCGTTGACTTCTTTGAAAATTTCGATCATTTCTTCTTTCGAACATCCTTTGCAACATCGAAATTAGACTTGGCAACGAAATATTCTTACCCAGAAAGTTGACGGAAGTCGGCCTTGACGTAAGCTTCGTCATCCATCACGATGCAACACGATTTGTTGAGCAACTTCGTGTAAAGTATCCAGGCGCGGCTTTTCGCAGTGATGTTTTGCCTTTCATTCCGGTTTGGGGCTTTTTGCACCTTGTAAACATGTAACCGAGCACGCTACATGGTTTTCTGCACAAAACTGACTGTTACCTTGGACTTTTTAGCTCGAATTGACATGTTTGGACGGTTCTTGAACTGTTACACCACTTTTCTGGCCATTTTACTGTCTATTAGACCACTTTTACGACCACTCCCTTCCTTTTTTCGGGCACTCAGATGCTCCTTGAAGGTTCTTATCACACGAGACACAGTTTTATTTGTAATTCCAAGCTTTTTAGCGATCCATCGGTGGGACGCCTCAGGATTTTGATTGTAAGTGCACAAAACTTTTTCACGGACAATTACTGGAACTACTGTACTTAAATTTTCAGGTTTTTTACTCATACGGTTCAAAAGTTACAGAAGATTTTCGGTGTGTCATTTTTATAGAATACACCCTTTACAGTGGCGGCCAGTAAGATAAGATGGCAGCAAACACCAAAATCTATTTGTGAATTTGAAATAAATCGCTGTATCAGATTTGAAAGATCGTCGGTTGCAGTGGCTTGCTTTTGAGCAGAAAAACGTGCTCCCAGGTCCTTTTAAGGTGATTCGCTGTGAGATCTCAATACTCGTAACTAATTCGAAACTTTAAGTCCAC